TAGATAAAAATAGAGTGCTTAAGCACTTAAAACTACTCGTGGTGCATTCTGTAAAGAAAATAGATAAAAATAGAGTGCTTAAGAACTTAAAACTACTCGTGGTGCATTCTGTAAAGAAAATAGATAAAAATAGAGTGCTTAAGCACTTAAAACTACTCGTGGTGCATTCTGTAAAGAAAATAGATAATAATAGAGTGCTTAAGCACTTAAAACTACTCGTGGTGCATTCTGTAAAGAAAATAGATAAAAATAGAGTGCTTAAGCACTTAAAACTACTTGTGGTGCATTCTGTAAAGAAAATAGATAAAAATAGAGTGCTTAAGCACTTAAAACTACTCGTGGTGCATTCTGTAAAGAAAATAGATAAAAATAGAGTGCTTAAGCACTTAAAACTACTTGTGGTGCATTCTGTAAAGAAAATAGATAAAAATAGAGTGCTTAAGCACTTAAAACTACTTGTGGTGCATTCTGTAAAGAAAATAGATAAAAATAGAGTGCTTAAGCACTTAAAACTACTCGTGGTGCATTCTGTAAAGAAAATAGATAAAAATAGAGTGCTTAAGCACTTAAAACTACTTGTGGTGCATTCTGTAAAGAAAATAGATAAAAATAGAGTGCATAAGCACTTAAAACTACTCGTGGTGCATTCTGTAAAGAAACTAGATAAAAATAGAGTGCTTAAGCACTTAAAAATCTTTAAGATATCAAAAATATTTAAGAAATTAACAAATTAGCCAGGACTTCAAAAATTTAACTGATTATAATACCACAAAAAAACAATTTTAAGACATAAAAGGCATCATACTTGCACTCCAAAACTATATATTTTTTAAAAGATAAACTCATAGACATAAATCTTTAAAAAAAAATTCAAATACCAGTGATAGCGGACACTATAATCACGTGAAAAATTTTTTTTAATCAAAATCAAACACTCTAAAAAAACTGTCAACTTAGAGGTCGTTTACAAACAACGTCACTAAATTTCCAACTAATTGAGACCCCTCCTCTCTCCTTTTCACAACATCGTAACACTATAGTAACAAGTTACGTATGATACAAATTACGTATTGTCAATAAACCACTAACATCTCCCTCCCCTCTTCCTATCCCTAAAGCGTGACATAGTTTATGGACCCCTTATTTCTAATGCGGAGCTTTAAAAGTTTACAGCTAGTTTCGAAGCTGAGTATAAATTTATCCATTAAAGCATAAAATCAAGTAGTTTTGATTAACGGCTTTGCTAAAAAAAATCTTTAAATATTGATTTATTACTACAGGGTCGTTAACGACCCGTTTCGGTGTGAAAGAGTTAAAGAGGTTTAGAAGTCAAGTTTAATATCTGGTTTCACATTCGTTATGGAAATTTACCATAGTATAATACTACGTTTCCGTAAAAGTTAAACTATTAATAAAAACGCAATATCAACTCAGTTAGTAAGTAAATAGTATAATAGTTAATGTCACGGAATTGAAACCAGGTCATTTTTTTTTGTTTTAGGAAAATTTATAGGTCACAAAAAGTGGCCTCTAAAATGATCATGACATTGTGAAAACATGTTTGTAAACTTTAAAGTGTTGTTTTACTCTATAAAATAATTACTAACATGTATCAGTTTATTTTAATAACATAAAAACATAAAAATACCTCATTTAACCTGAGATTAGTTATTAAATTGAAAGTACAGTTAAAATAAGTCAAAAAGGCTAAGGTTCGCATTTTTTTTGATTAATCTATTAACTTTTTGTAATCATTAAAGTATATATATATATATTATATATATATATATATATATATATATATATATATATATATATATATATATATATATATATATATATATATATATATAAATTGATTTTTGATATAAATAGTTTCAGTTTTTAGTTCTTCAAAAATGTAATGAAGACCGGGGCTAGTTTTATCAGGGGTAAGTTGACGAACTGCATTTATCTTCAGAGCCTTACATTAGAAAAAGACAAAAATTAGATAGAACTTACATAATTGACCTTTTCATATTTCATTAAAGCTACAATTTGCGCATGCGCATAGGAGATATAGGGATATGCGCTTTTTTTTTAGGACATAACGTAGCTTTTGGAACATCTCTTTCTTTTTACTTTACAAAGAAAATAGTTTGTTGTTCAAAAAAAACTGTTGTAAAAATTCGAGGTACAATTGGTTAACTATTTCTAGTCGTTTTTTTTTTTTTTTTTTTTTTTTTTTTTTGAATAATTGCTGAATTTTAGGATTTATAAGATGTTAAATGAAAAAAAGCCTTTTAAGGTAAGTTGGCAAAATTTTTACAGGGCTAGTTGCCTTATAAGATTTACAATAAAAAATAAATATTTTAATAAAGTTAGTTCTTTTTAATTTCAATTTGCAACAATATTAAAAAGGGTTTTTTTTTTTTTTTTAAATTAAAAAATATATTTAAGGGGTTTATTTAACGTAAAAAACGTGGGCTACTGTTTTAGCTTATTATACAAACTAATATTTGACACCAGCTTAAAGTAATATTAATTTTTGGCTATAAATAGTCGCAAAATTAAATATTAAAAAATTTCTATAAACTTTGCACTTAATAGCACAATAATAATCATTTTTATAGTTCGAGCCAACTCTATATATCTAACAACGGGGTGGGCATACAAAATAATTTGTGATAAAATTTGGACTTCAAAAAAATATCCCGTTTGGGCTACAGAGCTTAATGAGTAAAAACAGAGGTAATTAACTCCGGTCTTCCTTGTGTAAATGCGTTGAGTAAAAAAATAAAATTAAAAAAATAAGAAAATAAAAATTATAATCATGAGTTAATAGATGGTATCATTTTTAACCTTAAATTATTTCTTATCATAAATTCGTCTTTAAAAATAAATTAAAAATTCATAAATGCCTATTACAAATTTATTTACAGTTTTACACTAAATAATTCGAATTTCGATTCTATTTGTTGTTTGGTTTTCTCTTTCTTCTGCTGAATGGTTACTTTAGAAAGAACTTTTTTTGAAAAAACACGTTTGATAAATTAAGTTTTTTATTTTATATTCAAAAATTTTTCCTTTATAAGCGCACATAGTAATGAGAAAAGTAAATATTTATATTTATATTCATTTTACTTAAGTAGTTCTCAATCCTTTTATTTTTTCAAGAATTGAATTTTAATCTTGATTTTTTTAGTAACTCAGAATTAAAACTTCTTTGTTTTTAGAAATCAATAACTCTAATGGTTTAACTATATTACCGCATTTTATATTTAAATCAAGAACTCTATCTTCTGCTACATTATACTTGTATTAGCACATAGTTCTTAAAATATATTTGTTCTATAAATAGAAGATATATAGATAAAGTAAGTTTTTTCTGGAATTATTCATTTAAAAAATAATGACTTATCAATAATCGCATGCTAGTTTTATAGTAAAACATGTTTTTAGTAAAACATGTTTTATAGTAAAACATGTTTTTAATTTTCTTGCGTTGAGATTATAAGTTTTAAGTTTATCTTTCGATTCTTTGCGTTTAAAAAAATGACTTTTTTAACCTAAATTTTTTTTTTTTAAGTTATAAAAGTTTTTATGTTTATAAAAAAAAAAAAAAAAATGTAGTTGCAGCATATTACTAATAAGTTATATTTGTGCTTGTAGCTCTACTGTTTACTGAAAAATTTGAAGTCTTGGTTTTGAAACCATAGGCCGGGTAAATAAAACGAGCAATTGCTTTTACTCAGTCATAGGTCAGCTTTACGTGAATAAAATCTTCAACAGTTTTGCTCAAATTTTTATTCACGTTAAGTTAAGCAATTTACTCAGTAATTGCTCAGCTTTACGTGAATAAAAACTTGACTAAAATTTTTCAAGTTTTTATTTACGTAAAGCTGACCAAATACTGAGCAAAAACAGTTGCTTATTTTTATTCACCCGGACTAATAGCAAACTGTTGGAGTAAATGCGGTTTGATAAAAACCATTAAAACGACTAAAGCAGCCTTTAACTACTTGTGTAGGAAAGTTTGGCCACCTATGTTCAATCAATATACTAACATTCACAAACTTTTGCCAAAAATTAAGTTAGTTCAGACACTTTTTTTTTTAATTCAGTGAATAAACAGATTACCAAACAATAGCCAATTAATATAGCTTAAGAATTCAAATTGTTTGTACAACAGTTCATAAAATTACAATAGTTTTTAAAAATTTAAAATATCTTAAAAACATTTAGGAAAGACTTTTTCTTGCTGGTATGGAAACTAGTATACGCATTTGAAAAAAAATAATGAACTTTTAGTTATTTACTTAATAAAAAATATTTAATTAATAAATCATAATTAATTTTTTGTTTAATACAACTTTTAAATTAATAAAGCATAAGCTTTTTTTTTTAATTTCCTTTCAATTTTTTAATAATCTTTTTTTTCGGTTTTTGTCAATAAAGAAATTTGTTTTTAAGAACACCACTCTGAGAATTTAATTAATGATTCTGTTTTACTAATGATTTTAAAATTTTTCTCCTTATATCTTATGCTATTTTTGATGCTGATATGTTAACTAATTTCTTTTTAGCAAACTTTGGTTTTGTTGCGTTATAATTAAAAAAAAAAAAAAAGAGATTCGAGAATGATGATTGCTGACGTTTTATTTCTTTATCAAAAATTCTATCAGTGTTTGCACTATCAGCAAAGGAAAGTAGCGCTTTAGTTAAACACTTAAAATAGACTTTCAAAAGTTTTTTTTTTCGCTGAAACAAATTATTTTCTGCGCCGTTTTTATCGGTCTGTAAAAAGAATCATCAAGTGGCATTTAAGCAGTGTGCTGGTTGGAGAAAAAACATATAAATTCTATGTATTCATCGCTGCTAATTGAAATTTAAAAAACAGTAAAGTTGGTAAAAAAATTTTGATTAAAATCTTTTATACCAAGTTTTTTTAAATATCATTAAAAAAAATAACTAAAAACAAGTTAGCCAACTTGATTTAGTATTTAGTAGCACTTGTTTGA